TCTAGTCCTACTCCCTGGCCAAGTAGAAGCCAGGCCATGATTAGAAATCATGTCTCCTGAGTCTCTAAACATATTCTTCTCTTGCAGAGAAACAAACACTCACATATAGGAGCCCTGTTGTTTTTTTCCTCTAACAAAACTCAAGTCTGAACTTACTATATGAGGTTATTGTATAAATAGAATAGAATAATAAATGTGCTAATGATTTTCAATTACAGTTTTCTTTTTCAAGATATGGAAATGCTCCTCAGATTGATTATTGCATCAAACTTATTGTATATTTTTTCAGTATAATCAATCATTAATCAATTCACAGTATAGCATTTCTGTAAAGGAGTATCTGTAAGTATTTTCACCTTAATTATTGTTATATAATCCAAGTATTTAGCTCTCTAATACAAAGATAAAATCTGGAGAATTAAGAGGAATGGTATTAGACCCAGTGATTCTTATAGAACCTTGCTGGGAGGAAGTAGCCTCTCAAAATCATCTGAGGGAGACCTACCCACATTCCTTGGAATTCGGACCCACCCTAGAGAAGCAGCCCATTCAGTCTCCCTGCCCTTCCTAAGGGGGCTTGTTGCCACAGAGAGCAACTAGCAAGAATACATCCTGTCTGTCAGATATGCAGGAATAGAGTAAAGGTTGAGAACTACTGCTCTATTAATAATACTTGAAGTATTGATATTCTGTGATTTTGGCTAAAATAAGAGCTGAATGTCAGATGTGAAACTGGTGAATTTATCATATCTTTTGTGAAAGTTTGAACCCAAGTTGTATTACAAGACCAGACTAATGTCCTATATATTTTAAGCATGGCATGAGCAATGAACTCAGAAGAGAGGATTATATCTCTAATGTACTATTTATTAAGAGACAGAATCCTACAACTGAAAGGTGACTTTAAGTGTGTCCTGTACAAGGGGACGAACTTGTTCTGTAAAAGGCCATGTAGTAAATGTGTGAGGCCTTGTAGGCCATACAGTTTCTGTCCCAGCTCCTCAGCCCTGCTGCTTTAAAGTGCCATAGACAATATATAAATGAATATGTATGGCTGTGTTTACATAAAACTTTATAGACACTGAAATTAAAATTGCGTATAATTTTCACATATCACAAAATAATCTTCTGATTTTTTCACCCATTTAAAAATCTAAAAATATTCTTAGTTTATAGGTTGTACAAGACCAGGTACAGCCTAGATTTGGCCCCCAGGTCATAGTTTGCTGACCCCTGTTCTAGACCCCAATTTTAAGATAAAGCTAGCTAAACCAATCCAGGCAGATAAATATTATATAATTTTTAAAGTTCTTCAAACACAAAGATTGTCAAACCTATATTGATATTATCTTCTAGTGTTTTATTATCCCTCTGCAGTATCTTATTAATCTCTGGAGAACTCAGTAATTTTGAAGTATCTTATTCTGGGAACCGGAAAGGTTATTCAGACCACAACCCTGTTACTTGGTCATTTGCTTTGACTGGCCTAAGGTGAATCATTATTGAGAACATTGAATGGAATTATTAACCTTCCTTCCCACAGTTCTAATGGCTCCCATTAATCAGCTGGGTACCACATCAGAAACGTATTCCAAAAGTACCAAATCTTGCATGTAAAATGCTTGCTATGCCATCTCATTTGCCTCAAATAAATAGATATTAGTAGGTGCTAAAACCTCTACCCATTGCCTATTATGTAATAATACACGCTTCAAAGAAAAGATACTGGGATGAAGTAATGAACTAAATTTTCAGTGCATTTAGCCCAGGTACAAAATTTAAAATCTATTGGTCAGTATCTCCAAATTTTAACAGTTATTGCTCAGCTTAAACAGAAGAACACACTTCTCAAAAGCTAGTTTGGACTTATAGATGATATTAGTACATCATTGGTTCCACTAGCACTAACTTAGTTACCCATGAAGTGCTATGAGTCAATCAAAGTTTAAGAGCCATCTCTTCAATTTGATTTTGACTTAGACAATGAAGAACATAGTTCAGCCAACCTTTTGTAAACTTCCAAAGGCCATCCAGTTGTCTCTTGGAAGTCAGGAGATAACAAGTCCAAGTAACAATGGGTATAATTTAAGGAGAGCTGTTGAAATAATCTTTTCTAGATGTTTTTGTCAAAATATTTCATATGGAAGAATTTAATATGTTGTAGTTATATTGAAATAATAAGGCTTTACTTACCTTGTTTTTTTTTCTCTGATTAAAGCAACCAAGCAAACCAATATAATTTCTGCCCTCCTTGGTACTAGCCTGTGGCCTCAGGATGAATCATTTGTACCCTTTCGGTTTTCCTCCTTCCTTGTTATAGCCTACTTGAACCATTAGCTGACTATCACTGGGTTTCCTCACTGTTGGTTCCCTCACTGGCCACATCCCCAGGATATCCTATCCCACTGAGATGCTTCCTACTCTTGTATCTTATATAGAGCAGCACAGTGGATTATATGGGTTCCAGAGCTAGATTACTGTTGCCATACCTTAATTCTGTCCCTTATTCCATTGCAAAATGAAAGTGATTTAATCACTAAACCTTAAGTACCTGCTACCAGATTTTATCAGCATAAGACACACTATTTTTCAATTATTTTAACATTTTTGAAAATAGGTATGCATCTTAAAATTTGATGTCATGCCTGTGTTTAGTTGGTAGATTTTTCTTCCTTTAATGTTGTTCAAAATAAGAATCATTTTAAAATCAATTGCATCTTAAGTTCGGTAAAATATGGTACATGCCAAGCACTGTACTAGGTGCTGGGATTACAAATCGTCCTCCCCCCAACACACACACACACAAACACACACACTTTTCATTGGAAAGCAACTTGGTGATAACAAAGAATTGAGGAAGAAGATATATTTACAAAAGAGGGATGAGAGCTTATTTGATTCTGTATTTCCTGTACTTTTGAATATGGTCCAGAAATGCCATCACACTTACCTAGATAATATGTTGTAAATTACTTAAGTAACACATAAACAGTAAGTCACCTTTGAAGTGCATTATATGTGCATATTGTAGGGAAGATGTTTGCGTTCATCTCTTTTGGTAATGGGAATGATAGATGAATTCATATTTGAACACTTAATACACAGATGTCTTAAAGCCCAGTATTTGAAAATCATAGGTAAAAAATACACAAATGTACATTCATTTGCTCAATTTCACAAATATTTACTGAGCACCTTAAGTGTACCCAGCACTGAGGTTTCATGAATAAACACAACAGCCCTAAGAGCTTATAGTAGAGTGAAATGGTGGTAAGTGCTAGAAGAAAGAGGTTGGAAAGTGCTGCAGTAGAAGGGGTTAAATTTTAAATCGTGTTGTCAGGGCAGGTCTCCCTGAGAAAGTAATGTTTCACTGGAAGCTTGATGGAGGTGAAAAAGCAAGCCATGTGGTTACCTGGAGAAAGAACATTCTAGGCACAGAGACAGTACAGAACCCTGTGGGTCTGTTCACTTACACATATGCATTCTGAACTCTATTTTTAACCAAAGAACTCATGACAGATCTTACTAATAATGTTGAAGCTGAACTCACAGTATTTTATAATTTAGAAAGAAATTCAAAATAGTATCAGTGCTGCACTGATAATAAAACTACCTTCCAGAAATACCAGGATTTCCAACTTCTGATATTTTCTCAGTTTTAAGGCATACTTTCTTTTTTCACATTTTCTAGTTGAAATGCTTCTTCCAGTCAATGCAGTGTGTCATTTATTGCAGTGTGTCCTTTTTGTTTAACAGACTCATTAAATTTATGGTATCTCAGAATTAAATTTGGTCTTAGTCAAGGAAGTAAGATATGAGTATATGCACATTCACATGAGTTTTGCAACATTGCTAAGAATTATAAGGTAGTCATAATACTGAATTGGAATCCTCAGTAAAGTCTAGATATCATGACTATTTTAATTTATGAATACCAAATGTTAGTAATCCTTAAAAAGCTTTAAATAAACCTTAGTTGTATGTTAAATTAAAGATATGGAATTTAGTGTCATTTGCCCATAAAAAGCAAAGAATTGACTTGATTTCTGGGTCAATTTACAGCTTAATAAGAAGGGCTTTGTTTATCTGTCATTGACCCATACTCAGTACTTAGGAATTGCTGTAGGGATGAATAGAAGAGAGATTAAAGTAATGGAATCTATAGGACTCACTGGCTAAACATATATCAGGGAGGAATGTAAGTGAGGAGTTAAGAATAACTCCCAGAGTTCTAGTTTGGGTGATTGGGTGGAATTCTTAGAGTTTTCAAGCTGAGGTCTGTGTATTTCCCCTTGATCCAGCCAAGATGGTTTCACTCTGGTCTATACATTTGGCAACTCCCTGCCTTGCCTGAAATATCCTCCTCTCTATTTAAATGCTACTCATCCTTTAGTACCCAGCTCAAACCCTTGCCTCTAGGAAGTCTTTTTTTTATCCACTCTAAGCTGACGTTGACACACATAAATAGATAACAGTCATAGGCCAGGATGCACTTTGGTTGTTCCCTCATAGCTCTTTTTCTACTGCAACCTTTTATAGCCCTAATGGTGAGTCATTGAAGTTTGTCTTGTATATCTGAAGACAGATGGGATCTTGTTACTACCATCCCTGGCCTTGCTTGAGTCATACATCCTTAAATCCAAATGGCAATAAGGGAACAAATAGTCATCTCCGAATTCTCCTATTGTGTAATGGTGCCTATCATGAATGACCAAGAAAACACTCTACATGTCTTCATTTATATGACCAAGCTGTCCTCTGGATACTGAAATTTAAACCTTCCATCAGTAAGTAAGAAACATTTTGGATTGTTTTCTCCAGCAGTGGTGATAGATTGCACTGAAGTATCTTCTTTTCAACCAATAGCATGTATTCATAAATGTTTGCACAGCAAACAGTTTAGTCCCTAGTTTTGAAACAATTTTTTTACAGGTGTGAAGCTATTTGGCACATGTTAGGATCAAACTAGCAAGCCTAGCTTCATTAGCACCATGTACTAACCCATAGAAATTTTAATAAAGTGTGATTTTTCTATAACAGGTCTGAACCATAAGATAGCAATTAATGTTGTATTCCTACCCATGTATTGTCCAGAAGATCTCCAAACGTCACATATAGACACGTTATTAACCTGCATGAATTACAGCTGTGTGTATCCACAGGCAGAAACTGGCCGTGGCAGATTGCCACATTCAAGAGCTCTTGCAGGTAAGACATTCTTGGTATTATTTTCACTCAGACAATATAATTAATATTGTAAGCAGTCCTAACCTTAAACAGTTCTAGCTTTAATATTTAATATAGTTTCAAGGGTTATTTAGTAAATGTACCCTGAGACTTGTAAATGAGGAGATATATATATATATATATATACACACATTTTTTGGTATCATTAATATACAATTACATGAGCAACATTGTGGTTACTAGACTACCCCCATCACCAAGTTCCCACCACATACCCCATTACAGTCACCGTCCATCAGCACAGTAAGATGCTATAGAATCACTACTTGTCTTCTCTGTGCTATACTGCCTTCTGTGTGACCACCCCCCCCCGCGACATTATGTGTGCTAATCGTAATGCCCCTTATTCCCCTTCTCCCTCCCTTCCCACCCACCCTGCACAGTCCCTTTCCCTTTGGCAACTACTAGTCCATTCTTGGGTTCTGAGTCTGCTGCTGTTTTGTTCCTTCAGTTTTTGCTTTGTTCTTAAACTCCACAGATGAGTGAAATCATTTGGTACTTGTCTTTCTCCGCCTGGCTTATTTCACTGAGCATAATACCCTCTAGCTTCGTCCATGTTGTTGCAAATGGTAGGATTAGTTTTCTTCTTATGGCTGAATAATACTCCATTGTGCATATGTACCACATCTTATTTATCCATTCATCTACTAATGAACACTTAGGTTGCTTCCATTTCTCAGCTATTGTAAATAGTGCTGCGGTAAACATAGGAGTGCATATGTCTTTTTGAAACTGGGCTCCTGCATTCTTAGGGTAAATTCCTAGGGGTAGGATTCTTGGGTCAAATGGTATTTCTATTTTTAGTTTTTTGAGATACTGCTTTCCACAATGGTTGAACTAGTTTACATTCCCACCAGCAGTGTAGAAAGGTTCCCCTGTCTCTGCATCCTCGCCAGCATTTGTTGTTCCTATTCTTTTCTATGTTGGCCATCCTAACTGGCATGAGGTGATATCTGATTATGAAATGAGGATATAGTTTTAAATAAAATTGAATAGATTGATGGTTTCTATTCTAGGCAAGCATTAGGAATGTTCTCTAATAATACATTTCTAAATATAAGTATTCATTAGACCTAAGTGTTATGTACATGAAGCAGTGCAAATTTTACTCTTGTCTCCTTTTAACTCAGGCAAGACAATTTGTTCTTTCACCTTATAATTGACTGATATTTTAATACCTCCACAGTACAATACAGTATAATTGTTTTCTCTTTAAATGTTTAGTTATTCAAGTGCTATGCAATAAACTCCTTGAGGACTGCTCGAAGTGTATGCAATCCCAATAGTGAAACCCTTTGACCAACTAATTATTTAGGCTGCTACATAATATTCTGAGCTTTAAATTATTTCTATATACCTGTAAAATTATGTGTCCAAGTTATAATTATCATATTCACTTTCTGTTGTCATTTCTATTTCTTAAGCATGTGGTAAAGTTTCTAACAGCTTTCATGAGCTTATAAGGATATTAGATTTTAAAGAGCTTTTTAAGAAAAGTATTATCTTGGGACTTTGCAGTGGATCTTTCTAAGCTGATGAAACTCTTGAGTGTGTGTTGTTTTTCAACAAGTCTTAGGAGCTGTGTCTGATGAAGTAACTTTTGGCAGTAATAGTTACTGCAAACTGAACTTGAGTATCTAATTTTATAAGAGAAGTTTTTATTTTTTCCACAGTCTATTTTAGAGATGATATATTGGTTGACTTGCAGTTTTACTTCTTACATTGTAGCTCCTTAGACTTCCAGAAATCCCAGATTTCTTAATTAGTGCCCTAGTATGTAGTTTAAATACTTGTTTACTCATGTTCTTGCTTCACACAATATCCACTTCTGCCAAATTTCTTCCACTGTATTGTATATATTATTACTGATAGAAAATATCAAGGAAAAATTCTAGCTATCTACCAGTTGCTAGTTCCAGTGTTCTTCCAGCAGTCACTAACATGGCCACATGAAGTACTGGGACCATCCTGCCAAAGCAGTTAGTATTTAGGACATGAAGGATAAGAACCACTAGAGGAGAAAAGTGATGTGGTAATCAAAAGCAAGGTGATTCATTTCAAGTGGAATATCATGTTTTTCATAACATATTACTAATAATAATAATGTCCATTTAGCTCTGTGCCATGCACTGTATCTGGGGATTTTTTCATAAGTTACAACTAATCCTAATAAGAGCCTTGCAAGGCAAACATTGTTATCCTCTATTTGTAGATTATTAGACTGGAAATCAGAGATTCTATGGCATAACAGCTAGGATTTTAACCCAAATCTGTCTGATTCAAAACATTTCCATTCCTTCCATAATTCCAAACTGAAATATTAAAATAGGCATGGAATAATGTAATGCAGTGGCTCACAGTGTAACATTGGTGTCATCTTCTAAACATTTTTATGAACTAGCTTCTTTTTTATTACAAAAGCCATACATGTTCATAATTTAAAAATCTAAACAGTACAGAAAGTTATAGGGTCAAAGTGAAAGTTGCCCTCCCTGCCTTCACATGTCCATCCCTTTCCACTAACCCACTCACCCACTCTCTGGAGATAACTGGTATTCTTTGAATCCTTAAAGAAATTACTTTTGCATATGACATTGTATATTCTCTCTCTCTCCCTCTCTCTCTCTCTCTCACACACACACACAAACACTCTGGAAATACACACAAATGGAATTATGTAAACATATGGTTCCATAACCAGCTTTTTATTTTTTACTATATCTTGGATATCTTTCATATTAGTGTATAGAGAACTACTGCATTTGTTTTAATAACTATAAATATTCCACTATGTGGTATACCAAAATTTGCTTTATCACCCCCTGACTAATGTACATTTACACTGTCTTCAAATGTTTTTGGCTACTAACAATATCTGTCTGTGCATCTATGTATATAATCTTTGTGCACTTACACATCTGCAAGATGAATTCTTAGAAGTCACTGACTCAAAAGATGCAGGCATTTAAAATTTTAGTCGATATTGTCAAATTGTCTTCCAAAGAGGTTATATCAGCAACAAGAGTGCCACTTTACTCAGACCCTTTGCAATGCTATATATTATTAGTCTTGTTAATCTTTGGCAGACTGATAGGCAAAAAAGTGTTGCATCATTATTTTCATTTGCTTTTCTTAATTATTTCTGAAGTTGAATATCTTCATATATTTGTTGGCCATTTATATATTTTCTTTCTATGAACTTCTATACTAGTTTTATTTTTTCCATTTTTCTAGAAATATTCTTTTTCTTATTAATTTGTAAGATTTTTGCATATTAAAGAAATTAAACCTTTATTGTGTGTTGCAAATACTTTTACCCAGTTTGACATTTATTCAGTGGGAAACTTGTTTTTGTATTTTAAGTAATTTTATTTTTATGTATTCAAATATTTCAATCTTTTATTTTTGTGGCTGCTGGTTTTAATGTCATACTCAGAAAGGCATCACTCAGGCCAAGATTATTATTTTTTAATTCACTATATTTTTTCTGATACTTTTACAGTAGCAACTTTTTGTTTAATTTTTACTGTGGTAAAATATACATAAAATTTACCACTTCAACAATTTTTAATTGTACAATTCTGTGACATGTACATCCTCAGTGTTGTACCACCATCACCACTATCCATTTTCAGAACCTTTTCATTATCCCAAACAGAAACTTTGTACCCATTCATTAGTAACTCCCCATTCCCACCTCTCCCCAGCCCCTGATAACCTCTGTTTTACTTTCTGAATCTATGATTTGCCTATGCTATGTGCCTCATTTAAGTGGAATCATACAGTATTTGTCCTTTTGTGTCTGGCTTGTTTCACTTAGGATAATATGCTCAGGGTTCATCTATGTTGTAATATATAACAGAATTTCATTCTTTTTTATAACAGTAATATCACAGTGTATGTCAGTAACATATTTTGTTTATCCATTCATCTATTCATGAGCAGTTGAGTTGTTTCTACTCTTGGCTATTGTGAATAATTCTGCTATGAATATTGGCATACAAGTAATCTGTTTTAGTCACTGCTTTCAATTCTTTTAGGAATATACTTAGGAGTGGAACTGCTGAGTCATATGGTAATTCAATATTTAATCCTTTGAGAAACCGCCAAACCATTTCCTACAGCAGCTGCAATATTTTACGTTCCCACCAGCAATGCATGAGGATCCTAATTTCTCCGTATCTTCACCAACACTTGTTTTCTATTTTTTTATAACAGCCATCCTAACGTTGTATGTCATTGCGGTTCTGATTTGCAGTTCCCTAATTATAAACAATGCTGAGCATCTTTTCATGTGCTTATTGGCCATTTGTATATCTTCTTTGGAGAAATGCCCTTTGCCAGTTTTTCAATTGGTGGGTTGTTGGGAGGTTTTTGTTGTTAATGTGGCTTCATTTTTATAACTGGAAATTTTAATCAATTTGGCATTGATTTTGGTATAGAGAATGAGATAGGGATCCAACTTTATTTTTTTCCAAATGGTTTTCCATATTTCCCAAATCCTCTATTGAATAATACTTACTGATATGATGTCCTAATTTGTGTCATCTTTAACTGTGATGTGCAAGGATATATATATCTTCCACCTCTTTGAGATATTGAGATATTCATTGATAAACATTTCAGGAACGTAATATGAAAGGTTTTAACACATGTAAGAAAACACTTTTATTATTCTCCAAGTAATCAGAGTTTCCCTATTATTTTCAGAGATAGCAATACCATAATGTATTACAAGGTAGGTTAGACTATGCTGCCATTCAAAACCAATCCAAAATCTCAGTGATGTAACATAAAAAGAGTTTATTTCTTGCTCAAGTCAAGTGTGAGGCAATCAGCTATTAGCTTTCTTCCCAGAAGTGATTCAGGAATACAGCCTGCTGCTACCTTGTTCCAGCTCCAATAGGAACAAATGGCTTCTAGGATTGTCTATGCAGAGGCAGAAAGAAATGGAAACACTGGCTTTTAATTGTTTGCAATGGAAGTGACACATCATTTCTACTCACACTCTCATTTGCCAGAACTCACTTACATGATCCCAACCTAGCTATAGGGGAGACCAGGATTCTTTGTCTTTCCATGTGACCATGGGGAGGAAATGGAGTGGAGAGCACATAGCATTGCCTTTGTCACACTCACCTTATGTATTTGTGATGTTCCTAAAAATGCACAATTTTTGTAATTCTATCAATTTAAAATGAACTGTAGAGAAACTCATTTAATAGGTAAAATCCACAGTTCTTTTTAAAGAATCTCTTTGTGATATAAGTAACACCCTAATTTCATATTAGGTTCTCTTAAGTAGAAAATGATCATTGCTGATATTTAGTTGAGTGTTGGCTGTGTGTCTGCCACCATTCTAAATGCTTTACATTGTTGGGAGCTGGGGCTATGTCCCTTCCCCCACGTCTGAACGCAGCATGGGAAAGCACAAGCTTGAGAGCAACCGGTGCAGTCCTTGGAAGTTATCTGCTCACAAAAACATATCTTGTCCTTGAAGATGGGCCAAGACTCCTCACTCTGAAAATAGGGAGACCTTGAGGATGTGTGAAAACACCTCCCCTGCCCCCAAAACGGCGAACTCCCCGCTTCTCTTCCGGGTCCTCCGTCCCCGCTGGCGCCAACCAAGACCCAATCACCCTTCTACACCTCCCCGCCAGCGCCACCTAAGGTTCAATTATCTCCTGACCCACCCCTTACTTGCTACTTGTATAAATTGAGCCTGTAAACAATAAACTGTGCCAGCTTGATCAGACGTCCTGTCTTGCTGGTCGTTCTTTGTGTCCCTTGCTTGTTTCATTTCTGCAGGCGTCTCTGGCACACTCCACGTTCATCCCGCAGGCCGGGACAACTGGCGCCCAACGTGGGGCCCTGGGACTCCTGCTGAAACGTCTGCTCGGAAGCCCTGGCCAGGCATTCTTCTGAGTCATCACACGGGTATTCACCTAATGTCGACTCTGCGTTGAGGATCACTGCGGATCACTCGTCCGTAATACACATCCCGGAGAGGTGAGTAGACGCATCACCCAAGCAAGCATCTTAGATACCTCTTGTGAGTTCTCACTGATCCCCTCCCTCTAGTTTGCTGCCGCGATTTATTCCTTGTTTTGTCCTCTGGTTGTTCCTCTCTGAAAACCTTGTTCTTACTTTGGGCTAATGGTCGTTCACCTCTAGGGCCTGCACAAGGGACTCTGACTACAGAGTCCCTGCCCTAGAGGGTCCGAGCAAGCAGATTATACTTGCCGACTGTCCTACATAAGCAAGGGCTCGCCTGAGCTGATGAGAGTGCCTCCAGTAGTTCAGAACATTGGCGTGGTTGCGGCTGCATTAGTATAATTCCAAGTTACATAGAGTTGAAATCCCAGCCGTCCTAATGGGCAAATCACTGAACTCCCACGAGGTATTTCTTAGCAGACTCAGGGAGTCCCTCAGGACACGAGGAATAAGGGTTAAGAAAAAAGATTTGAAACGTTTCTTTGTCTTCCTAGAAGATGTCTGTCCTTGGCTCCCTCAAGGAGGGACCATTAGTGAAAAGAAATGGCAACGCATGGGCGATTGCCTTCAAGACTATTACAGAGCTTTTGGTCCAGGAAAAGTGCCTGTGTCAGCATTTAGCTATTGGAATCTCATTAATGATATCCTGCGCGTTCATCGCGAATGGCCCGATTTGCAGAAAGTTGTTATTGAGGGAGGAAAAACCTTGAAATCCCGCTCCCAACATTACATGTTTTTAATCCTCACAACATCCTATGCTGCAAGTACTAGATGTGCAGATTAAGGCACAGCAAGGTTGTTTTTTGCTCATTTGCTCAAAATATCACATAAGTAGGCAGAGTCACCTGAACAGAAGACTTACTTATACTTCATGTTGCAGGTGCTATGTAAGTCATTATTTGTAAAAGTCAACATGTGATAACAATTAGAACTTTTATGGTTTGGTTTGCTGCTGTTAGCATCAAATCTGAAGATCTTGAAAGTTTTCTAAGCATCTGGATTAAAATCCATCCTACACAAATAAGAAGAAAATTATATAGTATTAGCAATTGTTATATTCATTGTGCCTTAGTGACCTTGCACAATTTTAAATCATTCATCAGATTTTGTGACATGTCTAGCAGACATGGCTTTACTGTGAAGCTAATGAAGCCTCGGCATGAGGAGCCCTCCCATGCATAGGTCCCTTCCAAGATCCCTTTGGTATTCTTTAGTATTTTGTATTCTTTTTCATAAAAAGGGCCTCCAATTAATATAACCTTCAGGCTTCTCTTAACATAGATGCACTGCTGGCTCTTAGGCACAATTTTGTAAGAGAGATAGCTCTCACACAAAAAGATCAAGAGCACATGCCTTGAAGCTAGATGTCTGGATTAGAATCACTGTGTGGCTTTATGGTACTTAATTAACCTCTAAATGTTTAAGCTTTCTCATATTTAAAATTAGGGTTTTGTTTGTAGCCACTGGTCTGATCCATTAGCTTAGTAGTTAGTGTTTTGAATGAGTTTCCTTAAACACCTGGAGCCAAGAAAAGGAAAAAAAATTACTTTCTAGCTCTTGTGGATTATATCTGTGTTGTAGCACCCCTTCAATGCTTACCCAGGCCGTTTTTGACTCTGCCTTAGCCTTCACTTCCTGCTCTTCAGAGCCTGACGATCAGCCAGAGGTGAACAATTAGTTTTCTCAGACCTTTTATGAGCGTGAGTCCAACACTGGACATGCATGTGGCCTTCTTGATTCCCCAGTGTACCCAGGAGATCTTTAAAGCCCTGTTCTCCCCCATATCTTTTCCCAAACCCTTCCTCTCAGACTTTTTGTTCTGCCTATTGCTTGTCCCCACATTATACTCTGCCCAAGTTGCCCTGGCTAATGCTTTTGCCTTTATCTGCTTTCAGCAAAAGCCACTGGGAAAGCTACCCCAGTGGTGGGAATGCTCCAAATTAGATGAAACAAAAACAAGCCCTTGCATCTGTCCTAGAGGGAAATGCATGTCAAGTCAAAACACAACCACATCTTTGAGAATAAGGTCTGTGTTCTCCCTCTGGTACTAGCAGCCTTCACCAGGAGTGTGAAATGCCATCTCCATGGCTGCTTTTAATATGGGAAGTTGGCGAGCAATTTAAAACCCCACAGCACACTCTTACCACAATGCAGCAGCTTCTTTCTTCATTAAGTTCTTCCCTGGTCATTTTAAGTTTTTGTCTAGATTTTAGAGTTCTGGAAAAGTTGATTTGAGAGTTTTTCCCAGCTTATATGTTTGCTTTAGTGGAGTAACATTACCCTGAAGTTTCCTACTCTGCCATTTTCAGCGATGTCACTCACTTGATCCATTTTTGATAAAGCTTCTTGATAGTATCCAAAGTTAAGTGTTAGTTAATAAAGACACTTCGTAAATGATTTCACTCATCTGTGGAGTACAGAACAAAGAAAAAACTGAAGGAACAAAACAGCAGCAGACTGACAGAACCCAAGAATGGACCAACAGTTACCAAAGGGAAAGGGACTGGGGAGGATGGGTGGGAAGGGAGGGATAAGGGGGGAAAAGGGGCATAACGATTAGCAGACATAATGTAGGGGGGTGGGGCATGGGGAAGGCAGTACAGCGCAGAGAAGACAAGTAGTGATTCTACAGCATCTTACTACGCTGATGGACAGTGACTGTAATGGGGTATGTGGTGGGGACTTGATAATGGGGGGAATCTAGTAACCACAATGTTGCTCATATAATTGTATACTAATGATACCAAAACAAAAGACAATAGAAAGCAAGTGTTGGTGTGAATTTGGATAAAAGGAAACCCTTGTACACTGTCAGTGGGATTTTGAACTGGTATAGCCACTATAGTCTAGTAAACAGAATGTTCCTCATGTAATTGTAGATTAATGATACCAAAATAAAAATAAAATAAAGCCACTTCAGAGGAAATATACTTTAAGAGAAGCTTTAATTCCATGTATATATTTTGCTCTGTCTTGTAAATTTTGCAAATAATTGACAATTAAATTAAAAAATAGGTAAATGTATCTTCTACTTCTTTGAAGTGTAACAATCAATTGTTTACTTGGCACCATATAAATGACCTTGAAAATGTGTAGATTTACTTTGCTCCACTAATAAAAATTAGAAAATAAAACTAACCAAATACAGGTTTGTAGTACCAGCCCATATCTTGACGTTATTGGTAGCATCTGTTTGATGTGTTCACTGTTACTACAGTAACTGCAGAAGTTACTATAACATAACATTGATGAATGTGTGTGATGAATTGTAGGGAAGAGGGAGAAGATGAGGCCTAGTGTTAATATTATAAGGGAAAAAACCATCAGCTTCTGTGATACGAAGGACAGGTAAATATTTAACTATTTTACAATACTTACCGTCTGCTTTTTACTTTTAGGTGATGTTATAAAAGCAGCAAGTAAACTGGATAGACTGCATGTCATTGCGATCTTGGATATCTAATTTGGGTAACAATAAAGTAAAAGTCTATTTGCATAAAATTTATAGTCCAGATAATACTTCTTAAAAATTGGAAAATGAAGTTATTACAGGTTATAAAGAAGGCACAGCTTTAAAGATATTCTATCATTTTGTTTGTAATTTCAATAACTGTCTCTCAGCAAGAATATTACATAAGCTCTAAAGTTAAATGGTTTTATGTTTACGTTGTATTTGAGCTAACATACTTCATTTTAAATTCATTACTGAAAAGGTCATCAAAACAATTTTTGTGTATCAGGAAAATTTAGTGATAATTTGTGTTTACTGTTCTATTTGTGAAGTATACCTTTATTCTAAAGCCTCAGCATTAGACATCCTGGCTACAAGAGTAACTTTTCGTAGACATTTAACATCCTTCCACTTTTATTCACTTATAATGGGAAATGTTGAATTGCTAATTGAAGATTAAATTCTCCTAAATTGGTTAACCTGCTTTGTCACAAATAAGGTAGTTTCTGTTATTTTCAAAAACACCCATGGGTTGTTATGGTCCAATTGTTGTGGTCTTTATTTTGGTCAGCTGTACAATGAGTGTGCTAACTTGAATTGTTTTAAGGCTTTCCACTCCCTATTTTGGCTTCATATCCTTTGAATTTCTAAGTGTTTTGACCAGTGTGTGGTCTCAAAGCCAGAGGTTACAGTATGTCTATATTCTTGGTATGTTCATTTGTAATTCTGGTACATGTAATGTGAGTTTAGTGAAATTTTATCTCATATTAACATTTTAAGTGCTTATTTTGGAAGTATAAAACAGAAACTAAGGGAATTGGTTTTATTCTGGTTGTCTGTTATACTTTATTTTAACTATAAATGGCTATTCCATATTTGCAAGGCCCTGTGGTTGACATCTGTGGTCAATTAGATAAGCCAAAAAGACCATCACGAGTTAAAAGTTATTCTGTATCAAGATGAATCTGATTGTAGTTAAGCCATTAACTTGTGGGGTTTCCTTCTAGCCCCATGGTCTGTGACTTCATCTGCTATACATTTTAAATGTATTGGGCAGCTTACATACCTAAAGAGAGATGCTGAAGTTGTTTGTAAATGTATTCAATCTTTTGTTCTTTATAATTGGGTTTAAATGTTAATTAAAATAGTGAATCCTCATGTTAAAATTTTGAGTGTAATATTGAAGAAGTTAAAGCACAATAACTTTTTTGGTCTCCTGTCTTATTTTGAATGTACTTGATGTCTTTACTCCATATTTCTGGATTATGAGAGACGTACATGTACTTGTTAAAGAAACCAATATGATTCTTCATATGGGTTGAGGACTGTTTAAGTGAAATCTGGGTTTTTGTATTAAGCTATTATAAATTTTAAAAGGCAATTCATTATGATTGAGATTTTGTGCCTCTTTATCAGGGCCCCTTACACTCCCCACCCAACCACCCCAACCCCTCCCCCATGGCAACCACCAGTCGCTTCTCAGTATCAATGAGTTTTGTGCATTTTGTTTTGTTTTTAGATTCCACATAAAAGTGAAACCATAAAAGATAATTCAATTTTAGTGCCACATAAAGGGAAGAAGTTAATATTTAAGTAGCTATAGACTAAGAACCTGACATAAAAAGTCTCTTTCAAAACTACAACTTGAACAAGGTGTAATTTCTGTTCTCATATGGAATGAGAAATCTGAGTTATTTTTTTAAATGTAGGATCTTTATAAACAACTTCCCTGGCAGTTTATTTAATATACTAGTAATGTTTCTAACCAAACTTGGAGTGAAATATCTATGTCCACATTTCTGGCTGTTGCATAATTTGATAGCTACTATGTCAGTTTCCTAAGAACAATAGCAAATTACCATCAGAAGAACTTTTCTTCAAATGGCATTATATATTCATTAATTCCAAAGCATTGCAAATATACCACTGTGATGTTACCTTCTTATTAACAAATCAATTAGTAAATTATGAAATATGACAGTCTACAAGACAACCACAGTCTCTCACTGAAGTTTCTGATTTTAGATGGCACATGAAATATACACAATGAAACCCTTTGGTAAGCTATTGAAGAATCTAAGCACATGTTCTTTCTGCCACTTTTATTTCTTCGTTGGAATTAGCCTGCATTCATTTTATTCATATTAAGAAAAGGGCTTTTAAGAAACTTAAAACCCTTATTTGGCAACATTGACATTTAATGCTAGATACCTTCTGCCAATATGGAGCATAGATTATAATCAATTCTATTGTTTTGAAGTCATTTATCTTGTTTATATTTGAGCTGGATGTTATTTTACTGTTTATCTTTTCAGGTACATTTCCTTTTTTTTTTTCTTAAAGCATTCCTACCCAGGAATTTGCAGGTATACTGATGGGAGGTGAATTATGTATTAGTCCTGCTTATTTCAGTAATCATTTCTTTAGTAATTTTAGGAATTTTAGGAAAAAATATTTAAAATTAATAAAAATGATTTGGGGATTATTTTAAGATTTCAGGTATTTGAGATTATATTTAAGTCAAGTTATATTATATTTGTGTCAGGTTTCCAAAATAGAAACATTAGATATAAACTTATCTCTTGGTCCTGATCATATCATCCACACACCATATTATCCCTCATTCTTACACTATTATGTTGATACCTCTTCTAGCTCTGTTTTGCTTTCTTTTATACTAATGATAACAGGTAGATTTTGAAAAAACATTTAAAGCTAGCCACAGTTCTGTCCCTAAACCCCTGTGGAACCTTATGGAAAGCCACTTAAACTGCTTGATCTTAGTTTCCGTACTTGTAAAATTAGCAAAATAATGATCCCAGCCAGTTCTGATTCTTTTGGTTTATTAACACAGTTATTAGAATGCCAAAAATGTCTTTGTATTATATTCGTGTGCTTCATGAAAATAAAGTTTTCTTTGAAGAACATTTTAAAGTTATGATTAGACCATTATCAATTATAGCAGCTCATTGTAAAAAAAAAGTATTTTATTCCCAGTTCTTTTTACTGCTAGTGTTCTTTATAATTTGTTGCCTATTCTATTCAGTGATTTTTTTAAAAAAACAAAAATCTGAAGTATTTTATGTTTTTTAAGTGATATGCACATTTTCATTGAAAATCAAGCAACATTCTTAAAAGAGTTCAGGGGTATCTATGGTGCTGTTTTGAGATTAGTGCGTCTGGCTCCTATTAGTTTAGGATCTAGCAGCTGCCCCTAACAAGGCTTTAATATCTATGCTGTAGATGGGGAACTGAAACAGAAAAAGACTATAGGCACACCTTGGAGACATTGTGGGTTTGGTTCTAGACCACCACAATAAAACGATGACCACAACAAAGCAAGTCAGATGACTCTTTTGGTTTGCCAGTGTATATAAAAGTTATGTTTCCATTACAATCCATTAAGAGTGCAGTAGCATTCTCTAAAAAAGCAGTACATGCTAACCATAATCTGAGCTTTCAGAGAGTTATAACCACTGATCTCAGATCACCATAACAAATATGATAAAAATGAAAAAGTGAAATACTGTGAGAATTATGCAATGTGACAGAGACATGAAGTGATCCAATGCTATTGGAAAAATGATACTGATAGACTTGCTCAACACAGGGTTGCCACAAACTTTCAAGTTGTAATAAAAGCAGCAACTGTGAATAAGCACAATAAGATGAGGTATACCCCAATAATTTGCAATCACAATATAAGTTGGTCATGTGGACAGTAGTACAGCATGGAGAATATAGTGGATAATTTTGTAACATCTTTCTATGTTGATAGATAGTAGCCACACTAAAAGGGTTGAGGATTTAATAACACTTGTAACTGTTGAACCCTTGTGTTGTACATTTGAAACCAATATAAGATTGTATGTCAGTGATACTTTAATAAAAAAAAAATGAGGTATGCCCATAAATGATTTAATGTAAAATTGTCAAGGCAATTAAATTGTAAGGTCAGGCTTATAACTCCAAAGTCTGTTTCTTTAAACTTTAATTTGAGCAGAAAGTAAAATACTTGGATAATAAAACCTCAATTAGTGTATCAAGTCGCTATGAGATAAACTTCTCTAAATCCTGGTACTTATAAAATAATTAGCCAAATTATTGCAGCATATATCCAAATATTTAAAGCCCACTCTGTGGCAAGCACTGGGTGAGCACTAGGAACACAATACAAGCAAAAACAGACATGGCCCCTACTCTCATAGAGCTTGCAGTTCTGTGTAAGACATTCAAATAATTGCACAAATAAGTGAGATAAATGCCACAGAGGAAAAATATGTGGTTTATATCAGAGATTTTTAACAGAGGAGGCCAGGCAGGGGCAGGGAGTTGCTGAGAAAGTGTTCCCTGAGAAAGTTTTCCCTGAGGAAGTGAACTTCAGGTGCAAAGGACTTGCAGCTCAAGGTGTGTTTGAGGACTTGAGTGAGAACAGATAGAGCTGGGGTACAGAAAAAGTGGGATACAAGATGAGATAAACAAATAGATAAGGGCTCTTGCAGGGTATACAGAGCCTTACAGGCCATGGTAAGGATTTTAGTTTGTATCTTCAGAGCACTGGGAAGCCATTAAATGGTTTTGTGGCCAATATACACCATGATTTGATTTGTGTTTTAGAATGATCACTGTCTGCTGGAAGGAGAATGGATTATAAGCAGGTTGGCAGAGAATGCTAGTTGTACCCTAATACCCATTCTCCATTTTTATAGTAACAGTTGTCTCAATTTTTAGCTGGGCATATGGCTACCTCGAATAAAGAATAAATTTCCCTGCTTCCTTTGTAGCTAGATATGGCCTTGTGGCCAAGTTCTGACTAATGGGAAATGAGCATAAGTGATATGTTGTTTCTGAACCATTCCCTCAGAGGTTACAAGGGAATGCTTTCTTTCCCTTTTGCCCCCTTCCTTCTGGCTAAAATGTGAGCATGGTGGTGTGACATCGTGGATCATGCAGAGAAGAGCAACTGCGCTAGGGCTGTCAGCACAACCAGCTAGTAGGAGCCTAGGTCCCTGATCCTGTGAAGTTGCCGCACCAGCTGTGTACTGCCTGACTTCTTTGGCTGTTACATGAAAGAAAAATAAACTTCTGTCTTCTTTATGCCACCATTATTTTGAGCCTCAGACCAGCCAAAGTTAAAGTAAGGGGACCAGCTAGATGACAAGTGAAATTGAAAGAAGTGGATATAGTCCATATACATTTTGGAGAGAACATTAAAGTGCAGATTCAGACACCTTGCCTGATTCTAATGGTCTACGTCTTTACAAATTCCCACTGAAATAAAAATAATTCTATACATTTCCCTGTATGGCCCCGGAAGATGACTGGTTAGCCAGAGATGGGTAAGATTCCTCAAGGGAGGAACAACCTAAGACAGGCACAGTCGCAGGAGGGCCATCAGGTGAGAAATTGGGGATCAACAGAGGTGAGGCTTAGAACCTAACCCCCCCCTGTTTTGAGAGAAATCTTCTGCATCCGTGGATGTTTTGTTGCCCTTGTCTAGCTTGGATTAATATTTAGTCTATAGGCACAGACCTGATCATCTACATTTGCCCTCTTACAGCACTAAATTATGTTTTCTACCTTTATCTGGCATCTACCTACCACTTCAGCTTTTTATTAAAAAATAAATAAAATAATAATAATAAGAGAGAAATGTGGGATTCACATATAAATCAAGTATAAAAATCAAACGAATAATCATATCTGACTTGATTGTTTATAGTTCATGATGCGTGATCAAAACTGAAAGTTTCTGTGATATGACTGCCCTTGCACTGTTCACCATGTAAGAACTTATTCACTATGTAAGAACTTGTTCATCATGTAAGAACTTGTTCATTATGCTTCAGAAGATTGGAGACTGATGAGAATTAGGCTTGGGGTTGATTAATGATTGTGCATTGAGTCCCCTATACAGAATTTTATTGTTGTTAACAACCATTTGATCAATAAATATAAGAGATGCCCTCTCAAAAAAAAATAATAATTCAAACAGTCAAAAAGTTCCTTCCCCACCTCCCAAAATCACAAAGAGAATGTCTTAGTAACCAAGTAAAATGTAGATGACTTTCAGGTATTTTTGCTGTCCTATTGTCCTAGGCATATTTGACTTTGGGCACCAAGTGTTTGAAACAGTACTATATAGCAGTCATTCTCAAACTTGGCTACATACTGGTATCACCTGGAGAGTTTCAAAAATTAATTAAAAATTAAAAATTGATAGTTTCTAAACAAGTTTCATTTTCATGGAATTCTAGCATGTCAGATCTGGAAAAGACCTGTTAGGTAAATAAATTCTAATCTACCATCTTCTATTATGTAAATGAAGAAGTCCCAGAGAAGCTTATATTTTCCAGAGAATATAATACTAGCTGTTGTAGCCAGCTTGTGC